AAGGGCCCCTTTGTCAGTAGGAAACACATAGACTATTATGGAGATTGATTTTGGAATTTAGATGCACTGTTATTAATTGTGCTTATCCGTACATGTTCACATCCTTGAAGATGAATAAAAAAAAAATGTTATAAATCAGTCCTTTACTTCAACACCTGGGTTTTCCCAGAATTCTTGGGAAATTGTTTGTTACCTGCCAATTTGTTAAAAGATAAAATAAGGGGACTCAATGGAACTTACTGAGGTATAATAAAATAATTTATGAGACAAATATAATCAACACGTTAGAGCAGTTTTTGGAACTTCCTATTGCACTTTGAGTGAAAGTTTACAGAACAAATGGTTTTCCATTCAGCAGTTGGTGGACATTGTTTTTGGACATTGACTATGGTCCCCAATGACATTGACTATGGTCCTCACTGACATTGACTATGGTCCTCACTGACATTGACTGTGGTCCTCACTGACATTGACTATGGTCCCCACTGTTTAATGGCATTTTCCTTCTCCCTCCTGTGCTTCCCTTTTCCACGTGTCCCTCTTCCCTGTCCCTTTCTGCCCTCTGAACGTTATCTCTGGGTAAGTGCTGCCCTTCTGATCTTGTATGCTTGATCATTCTTAGGATTGCATTCTTCCTTGGCATTATTGATAACCTTATAAGCCTGTCTTGTTTGGCTGAAAGTCACAGTAAAAGGGTGATTGCCAACCCAGTGGTGTACGGTTTGAATCCACCAGCTCCTCCCTGCTGCTTCCAGTCACCAGGCTCAAAGAGTGACTAAGGGCCATAGCCCTGGAGCTTTCATCAGCCTCCTTCAAACCATCATGTTGATCTTTTATGTCATTGTCAGGAGTTCTGGTCCTCATTTCCTTCCCACCGAATCATGGACATTCTGGCTTGATCACCCTCAGAGTCATCAGCAGTGACAGTGAGGGATTCTCCGGTTTTCCTGGTCTCTGGTTCATGGAGACGGAAGTTGAGAGCGTCCGTTGGTCTTTTGAACAATAGTCTTTCGTTTTCTTCACTCTTCTTTGCTTTGAATAGCGAGCCTTTGATTTTCTTTAATTGTCTTTGATCCATATAGGGGAAGACTAATCGTTGCATCTTAGATGGCCATTCACAGATAACCATAGTCACTGCCCACCAGAGTAGGATGTAGAACATTGTGTTCATAGACGGTGTTAGGCCCCTTGACCTTGATATCCTCCAAGGCTGTGGTCCTGACACCAGGGTCAGACACTCATTCCCTCAAGATATGTTTTCCTAAACTAAGACATTGTTATCATTATGCCCCCAATGGGTGTGCTACTTTTTAAAAGTTGGTCATAATAGTATCTTAGTTTTTGCTCTTAATTCTGTTATCATCTATCTGCACAAAGTCTCAAAATTAACCATATATTTTGGCAGATATATCCATTTTCAGGGAATACAAACGCATTTTGGGGCGGGGGGAATCTCCCATTTATAACCAGAGCAAATGTAAAGCATCTCACCTTTGGGTAAGGCGCTTCTTGAGGAATGTAATCCATTTGGATCACCACTATGACTACCAGGTGTTTGTAGATGGTTCCGATTGTCTTTAGAATTCATAGCTACATTTTATCCTATAGGCTAGATAATCCCTATAGTTCTTGCTGTTGTGCATTCAAATTGCCAGCCCAAAGGCGTATGGTTCAAATTCACCAGCTGCTCTATGGGAGAAGATGGTCAGTCTCCACCCGTTTAACTTACAGCTTTGGGAAACCCACTGGAAGGTGAGTTATGAGTCTGTTCTGACTCAGGGGCACACAACAACAGTGTTGACAGGCATGGTGTTTTGGAGCTCTAAGTTCGGGGAGTGCTGATGGCTACTGAGTTAGAAGTTACACTGGCAACCTGCTCCTCTTATATGATTTATAGACTTAGAAAAGCTGCCGCAGGGTCAACTATGAGTGTGTCCCAACTAGCCAGCAATGACTTGAGCTAATGTCTGTAAATTAATGAGCATATTTTTCTTAGAAATCATCCTAGATTTTCCTGCCTTTGCATGGGGTTTCCCTTGGAACAAGATTCTTCTTTAACAATGGAGTCCAAGGAATCTGTGGTGTGCTCCCGTCCCATACCTCAAATCAAAGGATCTGTGCTGACCATTTGCAGAACACGTTCCATGTGTCACTGTCTGTCGGTCAGGTTGTCATACGGTGGTGGCTTGCTGTGCCATCATGCTGGCAGCTATTGCACCATTTCAAATAGCAGCAGCATCACCCGTGGTTAAATAGATTTCAGTGCAGCTTCCAAACCAAGAAAGTATAGAAGAAAGGCTTGTATGTCTGCTTTGGAGAGTCTATCAGATCGTAGCAAGATGCAGTACCGGAAGCTGAGTCCTCTGTGAGAAGACACCCCGCCTGCACAGTGGCCACGCCAGGATCATGATCACAAAGATGGCACAGGACGAGGACCCCCAAACAACAACAGTCACCCAGGTTTAGCGTCCCATCAAACAACATCAGAGAAGAGAGTAAGAGAGAATTTAGGGAGAGGACTTCTACATGTGAAATTTCCAAAAGAGAACAACATATTCTGGAAACAGCTTTTGCAGAATTTTCCAGCACAAATGTTAGGCTGTAGTTTGGGTTTTCTTTGTTCCTTTCTCATTACAAATAGAAAGGGGTGCCATGCACATTCCTCCTCTTAGAGAGTTTTTAAAAAATGTTTTATTATTACTAATTTTAATGAAAATTTACAGAGATTTTGGATTTCCATTCATTTATTGTTGCATTTTTCTCCCTGCCCACCCCTCCCTTCCAGTTCGCTCTTCTCTTTGAAAAGTAAAAGAAAAATTCTTTCTTTGTTATACAATCCCTCCCCTCAAGTCCACTCCACTGTGCAGCCTTCGTTCTGGACTCCTGTCATGACAATAATACCTAATCATATGTTGTTGTTGTTGTTGTTGTTATGTGCCGTCGAGTCGCCTGCGACTCATAGCGACCCTATGTACAACAGCCCTAAATTCCACTCTGTCCTGTGCCAATCGCACTGTCTCTGACACTCCCGTCCCAATTATCCCAGTCACTGAATCAATCCACCTCATAGAGGGCCTTCCTCTCC